TGGGTGACCCTGCTTGGGCAGGGGGTTGGGCTGGGTGACCCACAGAGGGCCCTGCCAACCCCTGCCATGCTGGGATTCTGTGACCAACAGCTGCTGGGCAGAAGGAGCGGGAGGAGGAGGAGATGCTGTCGTCTCCCGCACACACCCTGCCCCAGAAATGCTCGGTCTCTGTGTGTGGTTGAAGCTGCCACATTTCCTTGGCTTTGCATCAGCTTGGTCCTCCCTGTGTAACTGTTCCAGGCCGAAGGGTCGTCAGCGGAAGCTGTGGAAGGACGAGGGCCGCTGGGAGCACGACAAATTCCGGGAGGACGAGCAGGCCCCCAAGACCAGGCAGGAGCTGATCGCGCTCTATGGCTACGACATCAGGTCAGCTCACAACCCCGATGACATCAAGCCGAGGAGGATGCGCAAACCAAGGTGAGCAGCAAACTCGGTTTAGAGCCTGGCTTGTCCCAGAGGGAGGAGGTCTGAAGCCCCGAGGCGGGAAGGCCCTGTTGTTGGCTCCGGGCTCGGGACCTTGGTCCTGGGATTTCTAGACGCTGCATCCCGGAGGGGCGTTCCCTGGTGCAGTGGCACCTCTCACCCAGGGTCTTTTTTTTCCAGTCGTTTGTGCTGTTTTTCTCCCTCAGGTTTGGGAGTCCTCCTCAGCGAGACCCAAACTGGTCCAACGAGAGGCCGAGTAAGCCCCCAAGGCACCAAGGTGCAGACAGCACTTCGGCTCCCCCGCGAACCTTCACCAGCAGGAGCTCCGCAGGTACGGGGAGGATGCCCCCGCCGAGGAACTACCCGAGGATGGGGGGCTACAAGGAGACCCGTCCAAGCTACCGAGCTTCGGAAGCAGGCGTCCAGCATCTGTCTCGAAACAGCGAGCAAGAGAAACAGGAGAGCAACCATCGAGCGAAGCGTGCGGAGCAGACGCCACCGAGAGACAACTCGCCCGAGATGGAAGCGGCGCACGGCCACGGCAGCCCGGTGAAGGAGGAGGTTGCTCTGGAGAACCAAGCCACGGCCGCTGATGCTGCGCAGCCACCGCCAGACAGACCAATTGAAAAGAAGTCTTATTCCCGGGCCAGAAGGACCAGAATCAAAGCTGGGGATGCGGGGAAGCTGGCAGACGAAGTGCCCGCTTCGGAAGGGCTGCCTCCTGTGCCTCCAAAACCTGTGCAAGCCGAGACGTCCCCCCCGCCAGCCAAGAGCAGCAACTGGGAGTCGCCAGGCGGCTCCACAT